TGCAGAGTCTAACAGAAGCACAAGTCAACGCCTGGGCTCTCTGAAGAAGAAGTACAGCGTTTGCTCTGCGGTGCTTCCTACTCTCAAGTTTAGAGCTACTTGAAAAGCTAGAAAAGATACAAATTTTTTAAATGTTAGCAAACATCACTCTACTAAGATACGGTGATTAATCAGACTTCTCTGACACTTCTCAACTTTTCATCTCTGAAAGACCTGACTTAATTTCTCCCTGTCAGTGACTCTGTGACAAGGCACAGACTAAAAGAACGAGGTGAGCAGAGCAGGAGACTGCGCGTCACGGGGAACAGACTGGCGTGCACATCGCAGAGCCTGCGGGTTCTCTGCACTTTTTTTAGTAGAGTCAGGCTACTTGACGCTGTACACTCAAGACGCTGTACTTGAAACACATGATCTGTTCTTCATTACAGCACTGTGGGAACACATTTGACTTAATTAACCAATCGAGATGATCGTTTCATACATCCCCCACCACCTCCGAAAAGAACAAAAAGGCTGACAAACGTACTAGCTTTTCTTCATCTGTCCCCATGACTCTATTTCAGCTCTGAAATTTTCTTAGCTCAAAAAAATTGTGTAACAGCCTATTATTGCAGATGGAGGATGGTAAGGAGAAGGCTGGGCTATTGCCTAACTAGGAAGACAAAGAAATACGCTTTTCTAATTGATTTCTTTATAACCCATCACCCCTGTTCTCCCGGCTCTAAGAGCAGACACCTGTAAGTATATAACTAATACTGATTCGATGCTTAAAAGGAGACAGAGAATGAGTAGAGCAAAGTCATGAGGCTTCACAAAGTACAGCTGTGCCATTAAGAATAACTAGTGTGGGGGGGGCATGTTGATTCACATGGCAATATAGTTGAATAGTTTATTATCTAGTGGACCAATGCTTCCTACTTCTTGCTCTTTCTTTCATTCAGAAGCAAAGAAGCAAAGGCAAGAGGTTAAAAAAACCCAGTAAACTAGACTACAAACTGTTCTTATAGACTACTATAAAAATTAAACACACACACACACACACACACACACACACACACTCCTCCAGATCACTGATTATTAAATACAAGTCCAAAGATCTTACTGGTAGCAAATGTTTTAATATTACTGTACATTCAAAACTGTCTTCTAAGTAGCCTAGCTCTTCTGAAGTTGTATTTCATTTTGCCCGTGTTTCAGTTCAACAAGGTATTGAAATCTACAATATGCCTACAATAGTCTTGTACTGAAGATGTAGGTTAAACTACAAATGGTCCTGCTCATGAGGTGCTTCTACAGTGAAAGACACTCCGGAGGGAGGCTGTTAGAGCGCAGAGTGGGGCATAAAGGAGGGCGGGGAAGGTTCCCCGGAGGAAATGATGCCCCAGATGAGTTGTAAGGAAGGAGAGGCATTAACTAGGTGGAGGGATAGTCCAGGCAGAAAGAAGAGGAAGTGCCCAAGGCAGAGGAGCATGACACAGCATGGTGCCACTGCCCAGGAGTCAGGGTGGCCGTGAACTCCAAGCCATTTTGTATTTCCGCAGACTGAGTAAGAGACGAGAGGTGAGAGAGGCCAGGACATAAAGAACCCTGTGTGCCATCTGGCCTGTAGCTGGGATGCCACTGGAATGTCCAACTAACGGAATGGTCCAGACAGATCTGAGGTTTAGATTCATTGCTCTGTCAACTTATAATGCAAGATGGCATCTCAGGTGAGAGGTAGTACAGGCTAGAGGCCACTTCCTACAGCCTGGATGCTCCAGGGTCACGCTCCAGGATGCAGCTATTCCTGAATGTCCTCTGTGAAACAGATCTGGGGATGTCATGAGGTCCCTAAATCCAGGGAACAGTTTGGAAACTCAAGTGCATTGCTGGGCCATTCAAGGACTCTTCCCTGGAGACCCCCCTGAATCACAGCCTACCTTGGGTGATGGTTGGTTATATAACTAGTTGTCCCTGGCACAATGCAAGTTGTAGGTGGACAAGCAGATACTCCCCAGCCCCAACAAAGTGTGCTTTGCAATGCAAGGTCTGGAAAAGAAGCTACTAGTAAACAGTAGAACAGACCCTGTCAAATATATGCTAATTATGCTGAATTTGTACTGCAGTGTACTAACAAACAGAAGCACTCTGGATGCAAAGTGTTGCATTTGCCAGCTGATGGATCACTCCTATAAACAACATGTTGTCACCAGCTCTGTCTTTGCCGCATTCCTACCAGCCTCGCTGGTTTTCCTGGGTTGCCTGAGGGGATCCCAAGGGCTGCAGCCACACCAGTCAGACGACTTTTTGTCAGATGAGCTCGTCTCCCAGTCCTCTGCAGCTGCTGTTCATCCACCCCAGCCTGAACAACTCGGAAAACTGCTAATGTGCGAAACCTCCAAGACAATAAATAAATAGCATCTACTCCTGTCCCTGAAGGTCTCATTTCTTGCCTCACACTTAGTCCCACATCTCTTCCTTGCTCCAACTTCCTCGTTTTTTTTTAGCATCCAAAAATGCCGAAGCTGAGCATGTGTTTCTAATACCCTTCTCTAGAATGCCCTTTACGTGTCTGTCATCAATGGCTTCTCTTCCCTCAGTCATGCCAGCAAAATCTAACTGCCTCCATTCCACAGGTCATTTCCATCCATAATAGTCCTTTCCCTTGACTTAACTCCTGTGATCATTGTTACTCATTTTATCACCAGGTATCTCACGTTGGCATCCAAATTAACTCCTATGTTCTTTAAAGGCCCGGAGCAAGGCTTAGACACTCCTGTGGCCCATCTGTGACACCCGCAGAAACACATCTGAGGTGTGAACTCAGTAAATCTGAACAATAACCATGTTGACATCCACGTGGATTTCTTCAACCAGTATTTTTATTCGTAAAGGTAACAGAATGGCCCTCCAGAGCCTTTGGAAGTATACAGAAATGGAGGACATTTTCCAGGTTGGTTAAAAAGGAAAAGCCAAGGCTAAAGAGGTAAGAACCTTGACCAAAGTTAAATAAATGGCTGAAACAACAAGACCAAGAGTGGCCCCACTTTACATCAAGTGTCTACTCACTGAACACCATTCTCTCTGGCAATGTTCTCCTTACCCTCAACTCAGTATTTTCCTGCCCCCACACAGAGGGTGCTGTGCTTCAGACAACCCAAAGTGTCTGCCAACGCTGAAGTCATTCCTGTTGGATACGGAAACGAGTAATATGATTCTGGAGGCAATATGTACCCTTTCACCACCGATGTGGAAAAGTTTTACACCGTCCTGAATTAAGACATCCTAACAGCACTCCAATAGCTTTGGAGAAAGCTTGCCCAGCACACAGTATCTGAAAGGGCAAATGATTCATCTGCATGAAATCAAGAGGCTGGTGATAAATTATGTCTTTGAAAAGGGGTACAGAATACTAAATGAATCACATCAGAGATACCCCAGCAGGAATGCTTACAATCAAAGGTATTCTACATGAACAAATAAACCAGATGGAGCCCAGAGCAAAGAACACACATTAGAACGATAGACTTCTTCAGCCCGATGGAACGACTGTGGCTGAAACTGTCCTCAGTATAAAACACCTGGCTGTGCACACTTACAAGCTAAAGAAAATGAGGACAAATAATTACATTAATAAAGTATATGCACACTAATACACGGATATATTATGTGCACTATAAACATGAAAATTTAAAAACAAAGATAGAAATGGGCCCTCTAAAATATTCTTTCACACGTAACAGTCTGTTGGACACATCCCTGAGGTGTTACCACCCTACCTTGGAGCTAGCACACTAAAGTCCTTATGAAACTACAAAGCCAAAGGTAATTAATGACTCCACTACCTGGAAAACTCCTGAATTATCTTCTCCCCTTTGCTGAAGCAGATGTGCTCTTGATATCTAGAGAAAGCCCATTAAGATTCTAATGGTAAAAAGTCAGAGAATGGGAAATGCATAAAAATTTTTGGAAGCTGTACACTGGTCACTGACAAGAGGCTATGCGGTGTAAATGACCCAGAAGCAGAACTGATTTTGCTTTTGATCTAAACCGTGTCTCGTATAATTGCTGTGATTTACAGGCTCAGTGCTTTGACCCATGTGCTGTTTCCGGCCACAGGAAGGAACTGAGTAGTCATTAAAAAACTGTCACATAAATAGCCACCTACCAGCTCACCTGGGAGTGTAACGTTGGACAAGTACTAAAGAATGCTAATTTTACTTATTTTACTACTCATGAACTCCCTCAGTAAAGGGGTGAGCTGGTAAATTTTCTGAACACTCAACTCTTAATTATCCATACAAGCAGATCAGAGAAGAGTCACAGAGAAGTCAAAATGAATAATCAAAAAAACTTTTATATAACCAGTTTTGTAATGAATTCAGATACCACCTGGCACCTGCTTTCCTTGAATTACGCCGGCCCACCAGCCTGAAAAATGATGGCAGACTACAGAGGTCAAGGGACCGAGATCTAAGTACTTGCTTGAAAACTCTTTAGTTCTATAATCTCAAGCAAGTTACTTAACCTCCCATTCCCTCAACTGTAAAGTGAGGATGCTAATACTAACTCCCTTGTGGGTTTATGGAAAGATTAAATGATGTTTGGCATTTGAAGTAATCAGCACAGCACTTGGTAAACAGCCAATAACTGTTTAAAGCACACAGTACTGTTAGCGTGTGAAAGTTCCAGATAAAACTCAGCAGGGAGGGGAAGCGTGAGGGTGCGCACGTGGCCAAGTATATTGAAAGTGATGTCAAACTCACTGCAAGGCCAACTGCTCTTCTTCTAAAAAACATCTAAGGAACACACACGTTCCCCAATTGCTTTTGTGAAAATCGTGGTTTTGAACCGGGGACCTTTTCTAGGAAAGCAAGAAGAGAATTGTTTTTCTTCCTGTCTGAAGGGGTTTTCCTCCCTCTGTTTCTGGAAGCCCGGTTACCTGCCACAGAGGTGGGAAACCCTGGGGCGGTGTGACGGAGGCCTCTAGATCAGCAGTGAAGGCGGAACTCATACGTTACCTGCGCCCAGTGGTTCTTAAACACAATCATGCATGTTTCCGGGTCAACCCCCTGCAGGCTCACGGCCTGCTGGGGTTTGCTTTCAGTCGCGACCGATGACATCATAAAACTTCATAAATCAGCGCTGCTAAGTCATATTTAATTTTCACGAAAATTTTGTAAGCGGTCACTAACTTTCAAGTATCACATTAGAAATGTAACGTCTTCGCATTTCATTGTCACCTTCCAAAACCTGTAATGAAAACAAAAAAATGCATCTCATTATGGTCACATACTGAATAGGAGGCTGACTACTATATTTACATCAAGGCACAGATATTTTCAAAGTCCAACGTGGAATAAAATACATGCACAATAGACATTTCTACTCAATCTACAGGTTTCCCTATTTTCTCTGACCTTGCTACTAAAAATATAAACAAATGATGCTACCAAAGCTACATGCATAAATTAAGCAATTAAGGTTTATTCTCTCTACTATCACCAACCACAACCTCCTAGACTATAATTCTAAATCACTCAAATCTAGTTTCTATAATCAAGCAAGAAACAATGATGCCAATGTCTGTGGAGTTTAAAAATATACAGAAACAGGAAAACCATTAGTTAATGGTGACAGGAATACAAGATTTGGTGAAATTTGGGGTGGTTATAAAACAACACTCAGACCCCTGGGTCCAATATTATTGAGTTTTTTTATTCAAAGACTGTCACAATGGAACTGAAAGCATTCTCAGTCATTGTGTGGCTACAAACTGAGAAAAGATTTCTAGATTTTCTGAAAATAATAGAATTCCAAGTAGCCCTCACAAATCAGAGACAGAAATGATCCATCAGAAACAAAATAATGCACACTCACAAATGAAAAATGAACTGTGTGGAAAAAACATGAAGAAAGCCAGACTACAAAAGACTCCCGGCAGGGAGGGAAAGATTCTGAGGTCACGCAGGGAACAGTGGACACGGTCCAGCCACGCGGTGCTCATTCTGACAAGAGAACTAGCAGACCGCTGTTATCTCACCACTAACGCACTGGCACCATTCAAAGTACAATTTTACTAGGGTACAGACTAGAGAGAGATCAGAGCAAAGCAATTACACTGTAATTATCAAAACCCTGGAAAACAAAATCCATGATAAAATTCCAGCCTTGCGGCACCAAAAGAAAAACAAAAACGACTATTTTCAACGGATGGATATGAAGGGTGTTACAGAGAGAACGCTGGTCAATAACTAGACAATGAGGTGTAAGAAAGAAAGCTCGAGGTGATGACTCAGGTTCTACTTAAGGGGCAAGTTCTCTGCGGGGAGTGGAACTGCACACTGGAAAATAGTTCAGGAACATTCCAAACAAAGGCTTCTGCTGGGGGCAGGAGGCCAGCCATTTACCATGAAAGGATCTTTAAAAATAGTTAGGACACGCAGACATAAAACTTGCAAGAATTCATCATTCTAAAGAAAGAAACATCTGTAAGGAGACTGAACTCGGACTACGGTGTATGAAAAGCGGAAGGCCTGTCAGGAGGAGGACTGCACACACGACGCGCCCCAGGGTCACAGCCGTGTGTATCTTCTGTGGCTGCATTTTATTATTTAAATTGGTGGGTTCCCCAGTGTATAATTCTAATAATACAAAGTTGTTGTTTTCAACTGCCTTGTTGTCCTAAAAATAATATTTCTGTGACACATGTCCAGGTCCAGATGATGTGCTGATACGAACAAGGAAAATGAGAATATTTTGGTTTAGTCCTGGCTGGTGTGGCTTAGTTGGTTGGGCATTATCCTGCAAGCCGAAAGATTGTGGGTTCGATCCCTGGTCTGGGCACATACAGAAGGCAGCCAATCAATGTTTCTCTCCCTCTCATTCTTCCTCCCTTCCCCCATCTCTAAAGAAATAAATAAATATTTGTTTAAAAAGAATATTTTGCTTTACCCTAGAGGTTGAAAAAGTAGAACACTCCTAGAGATTCCTTCAAGCTCCAAGATTCTCAGATTGTTCTTTAAAGCTTTGCAGGGAACATGCAGTATGCCAACCACCTCTACATCAAAGCAGACACCCGCGCTCTAAGATCCTCTAAGTTGGTTCTCAAAGGGACTTTATACGCAGCCTTTCAGGCAGTGAGGCTGCATTACAGACAAGATACATTTCTTAGCTTAAGTCATAAATTTACTGGTTGATTTTGATGGAAACAGAATGTAAGTCTCTCAATTCCCGGTCCAGTGTGCTTTCCAGAAAACTATACTCTCCTTTCTCCTGGCTAGAATCCCTGACCCTATTCCCGTATGGTCTCTGAACCTTCTCTGGGAAAAGTGCATCGCACTTAGCCAATGCTTATCTGATCAGGCATTCAAGGCAGATGCCTGAAGAATCTAGACGTGTCATGAGTCCAGAAAGCACAACCTGCAGAAAATCTGGTGGAGGAAGCGGGTGTGTCAGGCAGGGCAAGCCGGCCACATCAGAGAACAAAACACGAAGCCAGAAGATCCTAGAAATGCAAATACTACCTAACACACCCAGACACCAAAGAGCTGAATAGTCCCACTGCTTCTCTTATTCCCAAATTAGGGTATTAAAGCACAGACAATGTCCCCAGGGCAACAGAATCCTGAAAGGAAGAGACAGCACCATGTTTATGAGAGAGTTGAAGGATGCATTTCCTCAAGTACCAGGACTTTCATTATATTTCTGCCTTTGCCTGTGAGTAGGCTTTACTTTTTCCTTTTCTGGCTTTTTTTCAATTCCAACCTTTTTATTTAACTCTCAGATCACAGCTAAAAGTCCCAAGTGAAGAACAGAGAAGGACAAAACTAAGCAAAAAGCTGCGGGTCGGTGAAAGACGCAGCAGTCACCAGGATGTGGGCTGTGTCGGGAGTACAGGGTTACTAGACACGCCCCCGCTGCTGCCCTGGTCCCTCTTCAGCCTCAGGCATCTGAAGCTGGGCATGCTGGCCGCTCTGGGCACATACTCAGCCTGCCCTTCCCGTAAGTACACACATGCACTTCAACTCCAATTTCATGCCTAAGAGAGAGCTCTATAAACCATCCAGGCCCTCACGAGTAAATTTTTTTCTGTCTTCAAACGAACAAACCACGAACACCAAAAAAATACCCAGAGGGCTGCTTTTCCAACAGTGGTTGCATGTGGTTTTGCGGTGTGGTTGTTGAGTCTTCTGGCCTGGGAGTGGGGGTGGGAGAGGGGAGTTACCAAAACAGACGTATAATAGCCTACTGTAACAGCACAAATTCTATACTGAAAAGACAGAACTGCCTGTGCTACTTACAAAGAGAACCGACCATATTATTTACAAAAATATTATTGGTAGTCAATTTATACATGACAATATTATACATAAAAACATTTTCCATCAATTAGGAAAGAAAAAGTCTATTGGTGGAGACAGAGATAACGGATGTAAAAACCGTATGTATTTTTATTTGCCCTATTTGGCAAGTCTGTGATATCATTCATTTCACTATGAAAAAAGCATAAGCATATGCTCCATGTCACGGAACTATAAGATACACCAGATGGTCACAAAAGCTGAGCTTCTTGTCATCTAGATCACACCCCTTCCCAATGTAAAAATTCCTTCAGCCTCACTCCCAAAGAAACAGATTATCTAATTTTAGCCTCTTTCACACACTACAATACTTAGAATAGCTGTGTGTCAAAATTACATTTTTTCCTGAATGACTGTATTTTAATGTACTATCTCTCTTTCACTATCAGACTGAACTTACAATGTAAACATTTTGGCATTTAATTCTATATTATCTCACACCGTCCTTCAATTATTTTATCTGTTTCCATGTAATATACTCTAAGAACAAATTATAAAATGTCCCTTAAGGGACAGAAGTGGATGGCCACCTTAAGGGGAGACAGAGCAAAGAGAACACTTTTGTTGAGGAAAAAGTAATCATATTTGCAGACCTAATGGGAAGGAGCCAGTAACAAGAGAATTTGAAGATTTTTTTTTAAAAAAAAGGATCCGATGGTGTTCCGAGAGAAGTAAGGTGAACTGAAGCAGACAGGTAGAGCGGGCCGAGAGAACCGGGAAGCGAGGCCGAGACTTTTCACAGGGAGTTAGCAAACGAGATGTTTTGACCTTGATGGGAAGACATGGAGGGTTCCCTTTCCACCTTTCCTTCTTCTTCCCACCTGGTATTTCTCTGGTTGGTCTGTGGAAATGGTTACAGAGTTTAAAGTGGATTTAAAGTGGGGGACAAAGCAGAAAGCCTGAGTTTTTAGCCTGGTTTTCCAACTATGGAAGTCAGAAAACTTCAAGTTCCCTCCTGGAGACTTGAGCTTTGAATTGGAAAAAAAAAGCTCCAAGACTCTGGTTCCTTAAGTTAATAATGGGGCTCTTGGTTTGGGACCTCACTTAGGTGAGTAGTTGGGATTAAATGATTATGTCTTAGGTCTCTCCCAGCTCAAGTCTTTATTTTATGTACTGTATTACAACTGCGATACTAATGGGGAAGGGCTGATTAGATAAACATAAAAGAAGGACGCTGACCACTGTAGAAAAATCTTTGTAAGAATTCTAGTTGTAAATGGAATTCTATCTGACTGCTTTTTTTCTGTTGAAGCATATTTTACTTAAGGAACCCAAAGCACAGGAATCAACCATCTGAAACATACAAACAAACAAACAAACCAAATTCATGGTTGACCAATTTGCTTCTTGAACAACTGCCAGTATGAAATCTCATTGTTATAGAATGCACTCTGAAATGCCCTGAATTGGCTCATACTAAACACATAAAAAGTCTATTACTGTAAAAGTGCTTATCATGAAAAATTGCACCTAAGGGTGAAGACTCTTGAAATATTGGGAATTCCTGAAAGAGGGGGACCTTGTGCCCTCAATTATAACTAATAGCAGTGAGGGGAATTCATTTTGGGTCAAACTACCTCAGACAACCTCGACTTAGAGCCTAATAAGATCCTATTAAACCTCAATCCTCCTTGTGCTCAAATCCTCTGGCCCAGTTTCCTTTTCTCTCTCGCTGCCGTATCACATGGCAACGCTGGGCCGTGGAGAAGAAAGCAGGCACCTGACTCTCCTGGACCTCATCCCGGTCCTCCCTCAGTGGCCTGAGAGTTTGACTCTGGCTCCTTCATTGTTCACTGTCCATCATTTCCGTGCAGCAGAGTCTGGTTTTGTTCCACCAAGTGGTAGGTCACCAGGTCGTTCACAGAAAAATTCTCAAGAAGTTCGAGTGCA